CCCACACCCCCCAGCAGAGCCTCTGGTCCAGCAGCCCCACAGCCCACACTGCTTGGTGTAAATACCTGTAACACCAGCCAGCGAGAGTGGGGAATGCAGGGATGCTGCTCTGCCCACCAGCCAGGGGAAGGATGCACAGAGAAACCCCTTTCTCGGGAACTTGGTTCCCTCAAGGCTGATGTCCAGGGCTGGTGCAGTGCACGAACAGGGCTCAGCCAACAAGACTGAACCAAGGGGCCGGTTACTGCATCATGAGCCAAAAAATTCCCCTTCCCTACCATCCCCTGCACTGGTCCCCGCCCCAGCCGCAGACCCCAGCCGGGTCTCATTGCCCTGAGCATCCCTCCAAAGGCACCAGCCCCAGCCCAGCGCAGCCCTGCAATGGGGCTGTAGGGTTGGGCAGCACCCAGAAAACCTGTGCTGACTTTATCCTTTTTCTGACAGAGCTCTAAATAACCCAGCTGGGAGGCGGGATGTGAAACTACACTGGGGCCAAAATAAGCTGAGTTGGGCCGCTGAGGAATTATGGTTTTCTACTCAAGAGACTCCAAGTGCATCGGGAATTGCCCAGGCATGCGGTCCCGCTAGCCAGACTCCAAAAAAAAACCCCAAATAGCATAAAGGATGGAATGAGCCAGAGACACACTCGCGGGTGCCCACATCACCAGCGACGCCAGGAGTGGGTGTCATCAGCCCCGGACCCGAGACAGGCTGTTCAGAGGCAGAGACCACCACAGTCCTGTGCCCACAGCTCCAGGAGCTCAGCCCTGCCCATGAAGCCAAAAAATCTGTGGAAAATTGGGTTTCTAGCATGTTTGTGGTTTGTTGGTTTTCTTTTTTTTTTCCTTAAAACAAGAAAAACAAGTTGAAAACAAGCTCACTCCTGGCAAGCTCTGAATTCCCTGCAGCCCAGGGAAGGATGGAGCCCCAGGGCCAGCAGCATCCCATTGGGATGCAAGGCTGGACCACTGCCCCATGGCCGCAGCTGGGGCTTGGTGGCCAGATTAGGGGTGCGGGGTCAGCGCTGGACATGGGTCCCTGTGGCCA